ATACATGTGTTTTTGTATGTTGATAGATTGGGATAGTGCATACATGTGTTTTTGTATGTTGGTAAATTGGGATAATTAATACACATGTTTTTGTGTGTTGATAGATTGGGATAGTTAATACTTGTGTTTTTGTATGTTGATAGATTGGGATAGTTAAAACATGTGTTTTTGTATGTTGATAGATTGGGATAGTGCATACATGTGTTTTTGTATGTTGATGTATTGGGATAGTTAATACATGTGTTTTTGTATGTCGATAGATTGGGATAGTTAATACACATGTTTTTGTATGTTGATGGATTGGGATAGTTAATACATGTGTTTTTGTATGTTGATATATTTGACTGTGATAGTTAATAGATGTGTTTTTGTATGTTGATAGATTGGGATAGTTAATACATGTGTTTTAGTATGTTGATAGATTGGGATAGTTACTACATGTGTTTTTGTATGTTGATAGATTGGGATAGTTACTACATGTGTTTTCATATGTTGATAGATTGGGATAGTTAATACACGTGTCTTTGTATGTTGATAGATTGGGATAGTTAATACACGTGCTTTTGTATGATGTTAGATTGGGATAGTTAATACATGTGTTTTTATATGTTGATAGATTGGGATAGTTAATACACGTGTCTTTGTATGTTGATAGATTGGGATAGTTAATACATGTTTTTGTATCTTGATAGATTGGGATAGTTAATACGTGTGTTTTCATATGTTGATAGATTGGGATAGTTAAAACATGTGTTTTGGGATAGTTCATACATGTGTTTTTGCATGTTGATAGATTGGGATAGATAATACACGTGTTTTTGTATGTTGACAGATTGGGATGTTTAAAACATGTGTTTTCATATGTTGATAGATTTGGATAGTTCATACATGTGTTTTTGCATGTTGATAGATTGGGATAATTAATACATATGTTTTTGTATGTTGATAGGTTGGGATAGTTAAAACATGTGTGTTTGTATGTTGATGGATTGGGATAGTTAAAACATGTGTGTTTGTATGTTGATTGATTGGGATAGTTCATTCATTTGTTTTTGTATGTTGATGGGTTGGGATAGTTAATACACGTGCTTTTGTATGATGTTAGATTGGGATAGTTAATACGTGTGTTTTCATATGTTGATAGGTTGGGATAGTTAAAACATGTGTTTTTGTATGTTGCTAGATTGGGATAGTTAATACGTGTGTTTTCATATGTTGATAGATTTGGATAGTTAATACACGTGTCTTTGTATGTTGATAGATTGGAATAGTTAATACACGTGTTTCTGTATGTTGATAGATTGGGTTAGTTAATACATGTTTTTGTATGTTGATAGTTGGGGATAGTGCATACATGTGTTTTTGTTTGTTGGTAAATTGTGATAATTAATACACATGTTTTTGTGTGTTGATAGATTGGGATAGTGCATGCATGTGTTTTTATATGTTGGTAGATTGGGATAGTTAATATATGTGTTTTCATTTCATATGTTGACAGATTGGGATGTTTAAAACATGTGTTTTCATATGTTGATAGATTGGGATTTGTATGTTGATAGATTGGGGTAGTTAATACACGTGTTTTGTATGTTGATAGATTGTGATAGTTAATACACGTTTTTTTGTATGTTGATAGATCGGGATAGTTAATACACGTGTCTTTGTATGTTGATAGATTGGAATAGTTAATACATGTTTTTGTACGTTGATAGATTGGGATAGTGCATACATGTGTTTTTGTATTTTGATAGATTCGGATAGTTAATACACGTGTTTCTGTATGTTGATAGATTGGGTTAGTTAATTCATGTGTTTTTGTATGTTGCTAGATTGGGATAGTTAATAAACGTGTTTTTGTATGTTGACAGATTGGGATGTTTAAAACATGTGTTTTCATATGTTGATAGATTTGGATAGTTCATACATGTGTTTTTGTATTTTGATAGATTCGGATAGTTAATACACGTGTCTTTGTATGTTGATAGATTGTGATAGTTAATACACGTTTTTTTGTATGTTGATAGATCGGGATAGTTAATACACGTGTTTCTGTATGTTGATAGATTGGGTTAGTTAATACATGTTTTTGTACGTTGATAGATTGGGATAGTGCATGCATGTGTTTTTATATGTTGATAGATTGGGATGTTTAATACATGTGTTTTTATATGTTGGTAGATTGGGATAGTTAATAAACGTGTTTTTGTATGTTGACAGATTGGGATAGTTAATACGTGTGTTTTCATATGTTGATAGATTGGGGTAGTTAATACACGTGTTTTTTAATGTTGATAGATTTGGATAGTTCATACATGTGTTTTAGTATGTTGATCGATTGGGATGGTTAATACACGTGTTTTTGGATTGTGATAGATTTTACTGTGATAGTTAAAACATGTGTTTTGGGATAGTTCATACATGTGTTTTAGTATGTTGATCGATTGGGATGGTTAATACACGTGTTTTTGTATGTTGATATATTTGACTGTGATAGTTAAAACATGTGTTTTGGGATAGTTCATACATGTGTTTTAGTATGTTGATCGATTGGGATGGTTAATACACGTGTTTTTGTATGGCGATAGATTTGACTGTGATAGTTAATACATGTGATTTTGTATGTTGATGGATTGGGATAGTTCATACATGTGATTTTGTATGTTGATGGATTGGGATAGTTAAAACATTTGTTTTAACTATCCCAATCTATCATCATATGAAAACACATGTATGAAACATCCCAATCTGTCAACATATGAAATGAAAACACATGTATTAACTATCCCAACCCATCAACATACAAAAACAAATGTATAAACTATCCCAATCTATCAAGATACATGTTTTTGTATCTTGATAGAGTGGGATAGTTAATACGTGTGTTTTCATATGTTGATAGATTGGGATTTGTATGTTGATAGATTGGGTTAGTTAATACATGTTTTTGTATCTTGATAGATTGGGATAGTTACTACATGTGTTTTTGTATGTTGATTTTTGTATGTCGATAGATTGGGATAGTTAATATATGTTTTTTCATTTCATATGTTGACAGATTGGGATAGTTAATACACATGTTTTTGTGTGTTGATAGATTGGGATGTTTAATACATGTGTTTTCATATGTTGATGGATTGGGATAGTTACTACATGTGTTTTTGTATGTTGATTGATTGGGATAGTTAATACACATGTTTTTGTATGTTGATAGATCGGGATAGTTAATACACGTGCTTTTGTATGATGTTAGATTGGGATAGTTAATAAACGTGTTTTTGTATGTTGATATATTTGACTGTGATAGTTAATAGATGTGTTTTTGTATGTTGATTTTTGTATGTCGATAGATTTGGATAGTTAATACACGTGTTTTTGTAGGTTGATAGATTGGGATAGTAAATACATAGGTTTTCATATGGTGATAGATTTGACTGTGATAGTTAATAGATGTGTTTTTGTATGTTGATTGATTGGGATAGTTAATACACGTGTTTTTGTATGTTGACAGATTGGGATGTTTAAAACATGTGTTTTCATATGTTGACAGATTGGGATGTTCATACACATGTTTTCATATGTTGACAGATTGGGATGTTTAATAATGTGTTTTCATATGTTGATAGGTTGGGATAGTTAAAACATGTGTGTTTGTATGTTGATGGATTGGGATGGTTAAAACATGTGTTTTTGTATGTTGATGGAGTGGGATAGTTAATACATGTGATTTCATTTCATATGTTGACAGATTGGGATGTTTAAAACTTGTGTTTTCATATGTTGATAGATTGGGGTAGTTAATACACGTGTTTTTTAATGTTGATAGATTTGGATAGTTCATACATGTGTTTTTGGATGTTGATAGATTGGGATAGTTAAAACATGTGTGTTTGTATGTTGATTGATTGGGATAGTTCATTCATTTGTTTTTGTATGTTGATGGATTGGGGTAGTTAAAACATGTGTTTTGGGATAGTTCATACATGTGTTTTTTTATGTTGATGGATTGGGGTAGTTAAAACATGTGTTTTGGGATAGTTCATACATGTGTTTTTGGATGTTGATAGATTGGGATAGATAATACACGTGTTTTTGTAGGTTGATAGATTGGGATAGTAAATACATAGGTTTTCATATGGTGATAGATTTGACTGTGATAGTTAATACATGTGTTTTCATTTCATATGTTGACAGATTGGGATCCCAGCATTGGGATTCTCTCCCATGAACAACACGCCCATTCTGCTACACGATCACAATGAGTTCCTAAATGAAAACATTTTCCTGAAGGGCATTGATATTTATGCTGCGATCATACCACCGATGGCAAATTTGTCGATTTAAAAAATCTAAAAATATATGACTTTACAACAATTTGTTATGCAATGAAAAATGATCATGAAATACCATGATTTTAGCATTTTATTCTTGTTAAAAGGTTCTGATTTCAAAATGTGTGCTATGACATAAAAAAAAAAAAAATGGAAATTGACAAACATTACCATTAAGTTATCTGGCAGTATGCTTTGATAAGCTTTTGAAACTTGCATACTTATTCAAAACAGTTTAACTACTAATGAAACATAGGACTGTATTTACTGTGTGTGAAATTACATTTCTGTGTTATACAATTGATAGGTGCCTTTTATAATGTGTAGCCTCAACAGCTGGTTTGACAGGAAAATGGTGAACAACTTTTGGAATGATTTTTTTTCTCAATTAAATTTTCGTTTTGAAATATTTTAGATTGCAAGATCTCGTTCTTGTGAGCATTAAAAAAAATAGTTTACAAAAAATATTAATTTACATTTCTTCTTGTTAAGCATTAAACAATATATATAACATACAGAGAGTATTTTTATACAACGATACATTTTAAAAATCGATCTTGACAAGTTGTAACACAACATAGTTTGTTTGCTTGGTACGGGACTGATATACTTTACAAATCAAGGGTCCTCAGGTTTTACCTTCTCTGAATGGGTTTAGTCATTTAACTCTTTTAATATATATTCATAAACATGTATATTCAAACCTTACTTTTTACCTAATGCTAATCAAATGAGCTGTATCACATGATGGGTGATAATTGTTCAACTTAAATACATGTTCTATTTGTTTATAGCAAAATATTGGCAAAAAAGGTTAAACCTCAATTATTTACCTGATGTTGTGTGAAATTTTATTCCCAAATTGCTCCAAACTTCTTTATATTTGTATGAGTACATAATAAGTTCATGTGCAAGATATAATGAAGTATTTAAAAAAAGATACAATAAACTATGTCAGTTTGATGTAAATTTCCTATGCAAAGTATATTTAATATTTTCTCCATGGATCACAATAATTGTAGTTTTATACATGGTTTATTTTAAATCGGACATTGGCCTCAACTTTATTGGTTTTACTTTATGGCAGTGTTACTGTTCTGATTATGTATCGCCATTCTATATTTTGAGATATGATTATGATTTAAGAACAATCTCAGAATGATGAGCAAACACTACATACAATTCACCTTGTGCCATGTACTCCAATCCACAGTAGGTTTTGTACCAACAAGTCTTTTTTCTTTGTTCCTTTGAAATAAATTTGATGGTGTTTAATTCACCCCATTATAGATTTAAAATGCAGAATTAACTTTTTAGATAATTTTTCCTCATGTTTAATTTGTCCTGTTATTTATTTGTGAAACGGACTAAGATTAACATCAGAGAATTTCTTTTTCTCTTTACAGTAGTCCATTTCTGTTATAGATTGAAAAGAAAAAAATCTGCTTAAATATGGAAAAGGGTGAAATAATAGTCAATGAAAACTTAAACTATGGGCTATATGAATCTTGTGTGTTGGGGGTCATGTTACCTACTTTTATTAAAATAAATCAAAAGGACCTGTGTTTAACATTTCTCTGTTAACTCATTCACCCCTGAAGACACATTTGAACTCTTCCAATCCAATGATTGGAATAGTCCTTTACAAAATTTTAAGGGGTGAATGAGTTAAGGATCTCTATGCTACTACCAAAGTCTGTAACTGAACATTGGTTTTTTTCCAGAATGGCTTTGATAAAACATTTCTGAAAAGAAAACCATACCTTGCATGAGTTTTTTGAAAATTTGATAATATTTAAATCATCAAAATATAATCAACAATCGTGTTCTGAGTATAAAAAATTAGCATGGCCAGGTCGTGATTCGAACCCTGGACTTGTTTTACTATCTCTGTAACAACTGAACTACCCGGTTAATCAAAGTGCCCTGGCCAACTGTGCTACAGTAAAGGGAGGTCACTGTAAACCACTCTAGTGGGACAGAGATCCTTAATAATATTGTCAAGCTGGTATAATCAGTATTTTCTTAATCTGCTACATATTCTAGATTTTTCTATGACTAATCTTAATCGTTTTGTTCCTTTTATGATAATTCTCATTTCAAATAAACAGAATTCCCAATTTGTTGACTTTCGTGTCTTTTTATGTCAGTTTTAGTTAGAAACACCTCGTAAGCATAGCCTATTGTTTGGACTATTATGGTATGATATTACCTTTCACAGAACCCAATGGGAAAAGAGGACAAATTTCAAAATGCTACTCCTCCTTAAAAACACTGTAAATGATTTTAATGTAATTTGTTATTTAACATTCTTTGGTGAAGGAGATTTATTGTAATATCAACTCATTCTCATAATCCGAGAAGTTTACCCACTGATTGACTGCTGAGATATTTTCAACTTCTTTTGAACTCCTAGTATGCCAATGGCAACCAAAGGTTTGTCTTATGGTTGCGGGAAGGTGTTTAGCCCCGTATCGTCTGTCCCAGTCACATTTCGGTAATAGATATTTCCTGGTGTCTATAAATAATGCCGATATACCAACAAATATTTTATCATTTAAATTCTGAATATTGGCATGTGTGCAATTAACTTCTGATGATGAATAATTACTGCTAAGGGGATTCAATAAGTTTCAATACGGACTAAGAAATCATATTCCTTGGTTTCATAGTTCGGTAAGAAGTTGCCTGACAGCCCCTCTCTGGGGGCCCCTTTGGAAACTCGGTCAGACCACCTGTGTTTACTGCCTCATTTCAAAACCATTGTGTGTCGTTGTTGGGGCTAATTTTAACAGGGCTTTCCCGAAAAATTCAAGTGGTCAAACAGGACATTTGAAACTGACTATGAATATGGGGATAGCAAGGTTACATAAGTGGAAGTGCATACAACACATACGTTCATTAAAAAAAACATGGCGTTTCACGTGATGACGTCCCTTTAATAATACTCTCATGGTCCTAACGAGGTGTTGTGGTAGTTTTTGGTTTGAAAAGCTGGCTATCCAGTCCTGAGACATTCTTTACAAATTCTGAATTCCACCAGATCAACTTGACCAAATGTCCAAGTGTTCCCATCATGGCCATACCAACTTTTGTCTGTGTTTAAACTCTTTAGGTCAATTAGAAATCTTGTATGGCCACCACAGACTCGAGCTAGCAGAGGATTTCAATTTCTTGACTGCTTTGAACAAAACAAAACAGTTAAACAATACAAGCCAAATGGGTCTGCTGTTTTTAGCTCACCTGTCCGAAGGGCAAGTGAGCTTATGCCGTGGCGCAGCGTCCGTCGTGGGTCGTGCGTCATCAACTTTTTCTTTAAAACCTATCTCTTCCTAAACGCCAAAAAGGATTTCAATTTTAGTCCAAATTCAGTCTGAAGCATCACTAGGGGAGGGCAATCATTTTTTAAATAAATGAGGTTTGTTCGACCCCTGGGGCCAGGGGGCGGGGCCCTGAAGGGAAAATTAGCTAAATTTGCTTTAAAATGCATCTCCTCCTAAACGCCATAGAGGATTTCAACCAAATTTAGTCTGAAGCATCACCAGGGGAGAGCAATAATTTCTTAAATAAAAGAGGTTGGTTTGACCCCTGAGGCCAGGGGGGCGGGGCCCTGAAGAGGAACTTAGCTATATTTGCTTTAAAACGCATCTCCTACTTAACGCCAGTGAGGATTTCAACCAAATTTAGTCTGAAGCATCACCAGGGGAGAGCAATAATTTCTTAAATAAAAGAGGTTGGTTTGACCCCTGAGGCCAGGGGGGCGGGGCCCTGAAGAGGAACTTAGCTATATTTGCTTTAAAACGCATCTCCTCCTAAATGCCAGAAAAGATTTCAACCAATTTACTCTGAAACTTCATTGGGGGAGGGCAATCATTTCCTAAATAAATGAGACTGGTTCGACCCCTTGGGCTAGGAAGACCGAGCCCTAAAGAGGAAAATTATCTAATATTTTGCTTGAAGACACCAATATCCCATAATTGCCTGCAAACATTTCTTTATTGAATGAGGTTGATTTGACCCCTGCGGTCCTAAGAAATGGTACAGCTAGATTATCATATTCTATGGTGTAGTTTTTATAAATTGTTAAAAATTGGTTTCTAGGTATATAAAAGCTTATAGTTGAATGAAAATTAAAGTACTGTCTAATTACACCCTGTAATATGACATATTACTTATTTCAAAATCTGTTAACATGGTAACTCAATGGAGGCCCCTGATTAGTTGAAAGTCAGATATTGTGGTCCCAGTTGGGTTAGAACATAGATCTTGTCTGGATTTGAGGAAATTTCATATAAAGATGTACTAATGCATTCAGTGAGCGATACAGGTCCTCTTGTTATTATTCAAACTTGTGAAGTATTGAAATGTTTGATTATCAGAATGACAAAAACTGAATATCTTTTACCTACCTGTACAATACATGTGATTAGGAATCTTTTAAATTTGAAATTATTTCCCTTTAAAATATTCCTTTCACAAAGCACAGGCACTTGTGAAAAAGAGAAATGTTATAATTGTTTATGGATTTAGTCTGGGGTTTTATTTTCTTCACTCATCCTTTTTAACACAACTTTAAAGAAAAAGAAAGACAGATATTACTTCATATGTTTGTAAACCTGAAGATATGTATCTACTTAGAAAATCCTATAACGCCAAATTTCTGTTTCACAATCCCCCTGTTTAGACCTTCTCGGTGTTGACAGTTGATATGTACAGATCACCAGACCAGTCCTAGACACTGACTTGTAGATGCTTGTTTTGATACCGGTAAGGATGATATAACATTGATAACACTTACATCACTGACCGCAATAACTGACCTGTTCACTACTGTACACTTGGGCGGTCGGGTGGCACGGTGGATAGTGCACGCCTTTCACCTAGAAAAACAGGGTTTGATTCCATGATCAGGCATGAAAACATATGTATACAGTGGAACTTTGTAAGTCCATACAGCAGCTGTTGGTTTGAGTGTACAACAAGAGACCCAATTGGCCTGTATTGATCAACTATTTTTAATTGTTTTTTGTATCTTCAACATGCATTTAGGTCAATATTAACAAACTTGATATATATCAAGCAAACTTCAGGTAAAATGTTGCTACTTCTGTTGCTCATGAACTTTAGATTAAAAGCTGTTTTGAGCTGTACATAAATTTGACCCTTGTTAACAGGAAAGTAGGTCAAGGCCATTTATTTGGACAAATGTATAGCCTTTAACACCAACAACCTACAAGGTAAATTTCATTACTCTACACCTCATGACTACTTTCAAGTTGTTTCAAAATGTTAACACTTTGACATCTGAGACATTGAAAATGGGTCAAGGTCATATATTCAACGAAATATAATAACCCTTTAACCAAACAAGCCAATCAGAAATATTTCAGGCCAAACACAGTATAATGAGCAGATCTCTTATTGGTTTATAAGAAATTGTTCAAAGGTTTGAAGACATTTTGCCCTTATGACCTTTATTATAGGTCAAGGTCATTCAATAGGTCACATCTGTTAGCTCTTCATCCAAGCCTGATACTGGCCAGATATAATCACCCTAGGTATCCTGATTATTCAGTGGAAGCATTTTTTTCGTCTCCATCCAAAATTAAGTTGCTACATCTGACACTTTGGTTTGTTGAACTTGTAACCATGTTAATCACCTGTCTAACTTTATTATTTGGTTACTGTTTGTGAAACCATCGAAACAAAAACAAAACAAAATCACCTATTTTATTTTTGGACATGAAAACCTTTACTTCCTTTCAAACAACTTTAAATTACCTAGTTTTTTTGATAAAAAGGTGGTGTACATTTTTATGTGTTTAATATCAATGTTTTGTTTTTCAAGTTTTTTAGTGACCAGGATCAATAGTCTAATAACAGATGTTGTCCTGAGGTTGTAGGGTGTGTCATGTGAACGGCTATGAATAAACGCACATCATGACAATTTAGATTGCATGTTTAATCATATTCTGTATTAAAAAACACTTTAATGTTGAGACACATGACACCAACAAAAAAACAGGAAAAGATTGATAAATTACCTACAGGCAAGAAAGTGAAGAAGAAACAAAATGGCTGTTAGGCCAATTTCACATCAAATAATCTGGCAGTTTCAAATTAATCAAAATAAGCAATTAACATATATACATTTTATGATAAAAATAACGAGGAGGGGTACGTTAACATGTTGATTATAATGCCTGCAGATTTTCAAGGAAAACAAATGCATTTAAAAATAGCCGATTACAAAAATACAAAAATGAACTACCGTGACGTTATCAGGTTGCCAATGTATGGCGAATTTATTTCTTTTTTTCGGGAGTTTTCGCTGGGGTGGGGAGGGGCTTAATGAAGGAATTCCGAATATAGGGATCACTTATTCAAAGCACCATTAGCTGAAAATCTGTTTAAAAAATAACTCAAATTTTAAAAATGTAAACATAAACATGTCAAAGCCAGTCAATTTTTACCGTTACTCGACCGCGAGATACTTTTGATGTACATCAAAGGATCAAACTAGTCTCTGTGTCCCATCCTCAAGGCAGAGAGCGTAAGTGAACATAACCCCTGGAGTATCGAGAATGGAACATTTCGTGTCTTTATGTTTTATCGACTGATATCTCCACTCGTTGTATATACATAAACCACGGTTGTATAATATACATTTATATCTTGTCCCGGAGCTGTTTGACAGTTTGCTGATGACATGGAAACCAGGTAGGCATTTTCACCGCGTTCTTACGTTAGTTACAAAAAAATATTCCTTTTAATATACTAGTCATAAAAGGCATTAGAGCTCACAAAGATATCAAACTACTGCAACATCGTGTTTGTGACACACAGATATTTTAATCCTGAATATTATAAGAGGATTTCTTTTTACTTTTCTCCGATGTTGCACTGAAATATTGGTTTATATATATTATCTGCAGCAAATCAACTATATTGCATGAAATTCATTTTTGCGACTGTCTTTCCAACGACAATATCGAGGATTTGAAATTGCCAAAAGTAAAACTATTCCTTGTTAACTTGTGTATGATAATATCTACATATATACTTGTGGAATATTGTTGTTTTTGACATCTCGAATTCCTCGTGAACTACCGCAAAAATACA